AAATAAAAAGTTCTGTCTGTCAAGATAAATTTAAAGCTTTCTTTTAGTAGATATATATATATATAAAACAAATGGAAATATATACAGAAGTATGAAACTGCAGACTTTCTCTGTAATAAGGAACGTGGTTTGATACTGTATGATTATTTTATCATATTTTATTATGCAAGAAACATATGGTCATTGCTTCTTACTATTATTGATAAACCTGTCATAGAAATATTTTATAATTCCTCTAAAAATTCAGCAATTGGGTGAAATCTACTTTTTAAACAATCCATATAAGTTCTAAGCATTTATTTTGCAGGATGAGAGGTACAGTATATTTGTATGAGCTCTTATAAAAAAAGAATTCCACAAGGATTGTACTGGGCATATTTTTGATGCTTCATGTATTTGGAAATTTATACAATCAGATTCTGACAACCCCATGAAATAGTGCAATCAAGTAGAGTTAAAAGGGTTATACTTATCTTGTAGACCAGGGGTGTCAAACTCGCCGCGTCACATGACGTGTTGTGATGTATCGTGACTTTTTTCCCCTTGCGGGAGCTGGGTTGAGCACAGCTTCCATGTGATGCATCTGGCCCATGGCACTCCTGTTATAGACGGTATTTGCTAACACACAACATATGGGGCTAGTGAGAGTAGAATGGAGAAGACCACTCATCCCTGCCATGCTCACATTTTGTTTTGGAATGCTTGATAGAACGTACGTACTGGAATAGGCATGGCATGATACATTTGTGGGTTAAAAAAAGAGTGAGGCTTCCCTTTAAGATGAAATTTACATATGGTGACTGCATCCATACAATTTTCCTGGTAGCAGTACAGAACTGGTTTGCCATTGCCTTCTTCAACATTTCTTTTTTCCAATTCTCAGGGTTCCAAATTAATGTGGGAGGTGCTATTTCTTAGCTGAAATTGAGAAGTCTTCCAATTTCTTTTAAACTTTAATACTGGTTTGTAAGGCTTGCATTGTTAGATTTTACTAGCATGAAGTAATGTCCATGACTGATCATATGCTGGTCTACTTATACTATACTAAAAGCAGAGATGGTCATGTGTGAGCCATATGCAATAATCCAACATAAGAGTATGCCACTAGAAATTGGCGCCAGGATATGTTTCAGCAGCATTATATTTGTAGGCTTACTATCTTTGCCTTTGTAAAAATGGCAATGGTAAGAAGTATGCAAAGCTAATACAACCATTTTGATTATAAAACTCCCCTGTCCCCAAATAAAGCCAGAATGTC